ATTTAAAAAAAACATATTTTTAACACTGAGGCTGTGGACAGGCGTAAGTCAGCCCAGGCCTACTAGGGGGTCATCGAAATACTCCTTCAGCGAGTAGTAGGCTTTTCCTTTAAGATATGCAGTGAGTACCTTGAGGAGTTCCCTTTTGTCGAGAAGTGCGATGGAGTTTGGCAACTTATTATATATTGTTAGGGCTCCATTACTAAAGGCCTTCTGAGTCCTTGATAGTCTAACTCTAGGAACATCTAGTTGGTTGCGATGCCTAGTAAGGTGGTGATGTTTTGCAGCTCTGGAAGGAAACTCCTCAATATTATCTATTACGTACTTTATACAGGCGAGGATATAGTGACCAAACACTGTTAAAATTCCCAGCCTGGCAAAGATAGGCTTGCAGTGAGCCAGACGATCGCTGAAGGTGATTATTCGTAGAGCTCTCTTTTGCTGGACCAGGATGTCTTCGGTCGTGGGTGCGTGTCCCCACAACAGCACACCATAGCTCACGTGGCAGTGAAACATAGAATGATAGACATTCATCAGGTATTTCTCCGTGACCAGATACCTAAGTTTTAAGAGCAGGCAGCATACCCTTGACAGCTTGCAGACCTGATTTACGTGGTCATTCCAGGTTAGCTTATGGTCCAAGGTAAAACCTAGCAGCTTCACCGGATCATTGTGAGGAGCATGTTTAGCCAGACTGCAGACAAGAGATTGTGTCTTGGATTGGTTAAGCTGGAAGCCATTGGCCTCAAACCAGTTTTAAGCTTCAATTAAGTGCTGTTCAGCTCCCGCTACAGTCTGTTCAACCTGCAGTCCTCGTGACACAAGGGTGGTGTCGTCAGCAAATAATACAATATTTCCTGACTTGTCGAGGTCGTTTATCATAACCAGGAAAAGAATCGGCCCAATTACCGATCCTTGTGGAACTCCATATTCTACTTCTAGAGGTGCTGAAGTTGCCCCCTCGATAGAGACCACCTGTTGCCTACCCGCGAGATATGATCCAATTGTTCCGAGAACAGTGCCACCCACTCCATAACTTTCCAAATTCCTGACCAGTATGGCATGGTCGACGCAATCAAATGCACGACTTAGGTCGCACAATGTGAGGGTGACTGTGTGGCAAGTCTCAAATGCCTCACCGACCAAACCTGCAAGCCTCATGACCGCTCCTGTTGTAGACCAGCCTTTATGGAATCCGAATTGACCTTCCGTCAGTAGGTTGTTAGACTCTAGGTGTTCACAAAGCTGCCTGGTCATTAGAGCCTCTAAGACTTTACCAAAGATTGGTAGAATAGAAACGGGCCTATAGCTGTTCAATCTATCTCGCTCACCCTTCTTGTAGATGGGGACGGTACTGGCAATTTTCATGCTGGGGGGAAACCCCTCTCTTCAAAATGTTGTTCAGGACTAGCGATAGCGGTTGAGAGATTTGTCCTATGACACGTGTTAACCAAGTTGTGGACATTCCGTAGAAGTCAGGGCTGTTTGAGTTTTTGAAACCAGCCACAATTTTCTCTATCTCGGTTGAAGTATTAGGCTGCCACGAAAAAAAGTTGGTGTGTACATCCACATTCAAAGAAATCTTACTGGAGTCTAAAGATTTCAGACCGGTTACAATGTTGTCTACGGAGTCGATGAAGAATCTATTAAATTGGTCAGGGCTGTGTGGTGATGATTGGGTCACCCGACTGCTTCTTGTGGCCGTTTTGACCACATCCCAAGCTGCTTTGCACTGATTTTTAGTAGAAACAATCATATTTACATTTGCCTCTTTCTTGGCCTCAACAATCTTTTGTTTGTATGCATTTTTAGAGGCTAGGTAGGCCGCTTTGTCCACCTCTTGGTTGTTCTCCCTAAACCTGTCCTTCAGTGCGAGCATGTCCTGTTTTAGCCTAAACAACTCAGGAGTATACCATTTTCATTTTAGGTAGGATTTTGACCTCGCCACACGAGTTTTGTTGTTGGGCCTATATACCTTGGACTTAGATGGGAAGAAAACATCAAATAACTTCCTTATTTCAGAAAAAACACATCAAAGTCATTGACATCGTCTTTCAGGATGTTAAACCATTTAATCTCACCAAGAGCTACTAAAAATAGGTCTATCATGCTTAGGTCAAGTTTTCTAATGTTAAAAAGATAACTACTATGTCAAGAATTCAAAGGAGGACTCACCACATTTGAAGAAGTCATCCATCTCATCACCACTGCGGAGTGATCTGCGACAAAGTGTTCGACGACACTGGCCTCATAATCCCAGGTGTTCAGGTTTACAGCTATGTTGTCGATGCAGGAGTGGCCCCTCGTTGGTTGTGTTGTCGTGAGGAAAAGTCCGAAGGACTTCAGGAGATTGAGCAGGGCAGATCTCTCGGTGCCTTCTCCAATAAAATTTACGTTGAAATCCCCCATCAAGACCAAGTTGGAGAAATTTCTCTCAAGGGAAGCCAGACAGCTCTCCAATTGATTACAAAACACTTTGAAATTCCCACTAGGTGAGTGGTAAACACAGATTGCCGTCACGTTCAGGCTTGGTATGTAAATCGCTACCAGTTCACAATCGAGGTCTGAGCAAAATTGCTCCACATTTAAGACACTAAAATCAAGGCTTGGGTCGATGAACATATAATGTCAATGTCAATAGACATGCAAATGTGAATAAATCGCTATTCCTCATTAAAAAGTATTTTACGCCACTCTGCCTTAACTGCACTATGGGCAGCAATGAATCAGTAGAACACCTGATTATTGAATGCCCAGCACATGAATCAGCCAGGAATAGATGTTTTATTTCAACACAGAAGATAATACAGAAATGTAACAGCTCCAAGTATCTGCAAGAAATTCTCAGAACTAACGACTCCACAGTATATCAAGAAATCATAGATTTCCTCTTACACATAAAGAGAACAATTTAAACAACAAACAAAACCAAACACAAACACTCACATAATTCATTCCAATCCTTGGGTTCTTCATCCATGGCCCTCCTTCCCAGACAGCACACTTTCTCCTCAGGACATCCCACGGATATTGCGACAGGATATGCAAGAAATCCCATAGTGGTCCTATGGTCAACCTGGGATATCCCAGGATATCCACAGGAATGCGTAATGTCCCCGCCCGGGGATGTCCTACGGATAAGCTCACAGCATATCCGTGGGACATCCGAGGTCGTCCCAGGGTAGTCCTCAGGACATTCTCAGGCCATATGGGACTACTATGGGATGTGGGATAAAGTGTGGTCTGGGCCTGAACATAAAAAACACAAAATAATATAGATTTAGTATGAAAAGCTTAATTATAAGTTTAGTAAATTGATTAAATAGTTAATAAAAACAAATTTTGAAGAAAAACACGAGAAAAAAGATTTAGGCCCAGACGGGTCTCGAACCTGGTACCTTCGCCTTATGAACCTCTTACCATTGACTATACACCTCTACAGAGAGTACTATATACCTGTAGAGGTGTATAGTCAATGCTCTTACCTTTCCTCCTGAGCTATCTGCGCTTGATGATTATGGGTGTTTTCAAGTGGTGAAAGAGTAGCCGACAGTTGCAATGGTCGCAATACTTATATTTTTGATACTACAGTATATAATATGATTCTGTTAATCTGTTTAGGCCTCAAGTAGTTGAATTGTTTTTCTGATAGTTGGAGAGGATACTGGTATTTGAATATAGATTATTTAATTACCATTAGATTAGCACTGTTATAATTGATTGTTATGATTAAAATTAGTTTTTGATTGTTTTATTAATTTAAAGTTGGAATTAAATTCACATTTCACACAACTATGATAGAACTCTAGTTTTCCTGAACTCGGTGGTAGTAATATGTCAGTAAAGTTAAGTCAACCCTTGCTAGACACAGTATTAACGAGACATATTTTCAATCTGGGAAACCTTAAACTTTTAAAACAAATTATAAAACCTCAACATCTTAATGCGTAGGAATCTTATTTTTAGAAAAAAAACAGACCAAAATTATTTGTTAAATAATGAAGACGGCCCCATTATAAATTCGGAATTACTGAAAATAATTACATCAAGAACAACACCGTAATAGCCTACATCCAAAATTCAAAAGATTAATTTTTCTAATATTATTTTTTATTTTTCCAATATCCTTTATATCATCTGTTTTAACTTTGTTTAAAATTAATTTATCAAGTAAATATTTACTTTTTGTACTAGTGTAAACACAGCCTGAAGATGGAAACCTAGTTTTTGAAAGCGCTAGTGAAAAAAACAAATTATTATATATTGGCCTTGTTGAACATTTAAATTTAGATATACATTTCATCAGTGGTAGTATTTTTTTCTTCAGTTTGTTACCGGGACATTACGGGACATTACAGGATATCCAGTGGATTTTGTACATCTACATGTCCCGGGATGTCATGGGACATTCTGGGATATCCTATGCCATTCGTACATATCCCGGGACTTTACAGGATATCCTGAGGTTAACTTACAACTCCCGGGACATTACGGTATATTGTAGGATATCCTGTGGATTTCGTACTCGTCCCGGGATTTTGCGGGATATCCTGAGGATAGCGTACATATCCCGAGACATTCTCAGGACATATGGGACTACTATGGGAAGTGTGCTGTCTGGGTTTTCGGGATAGAAATGCTTGACAGCCCTCAAGCGAGAAGACTCCAACCCAACCCCTCTCCCAACTATCCTATCATGGCCTTAGAATCGTACTAAATCCCATCTATTATCTGACAAAAAAAAACAAAAACCAAAATTAAATTTACCACCAAACTAAAACAATATCCTCAACAATTCCAAGTCAATACTAACAAAAACTCACCAAACTCTAATGAAAACCACAGAATCGTCAAATAAATTAGTGCACAACGAGGCTGCATATAATATAAGCCTGCTTTCAAGCAAATAAGATAAAAAAAAAAAAAAAAAAAACATTCATTTGACTGACAGTTAGTTGGAGTTCTGCTGTTCTGCTTAGTGTAGATATAAAGTCAATGGATTGTATTGTGTAGTGTTCATAGTTGATTTTTTGTTGCTCGTATAGACAAGATTAATAATTTATCAAGTAAGTAGGTAACAGAACCTGACTTTGGATTTCATGAGTTCTAGATCGTATTTACGTACTAGGCCTATTTAGAATCTGTTTATTTTGAAGTTCGTAAATCGTAACCTAATGTCAGAGCAGAGCCTTTCTTTGTTTTGAAAGGGTAAAATAATATGTCGTGTTTATTAACTAGAGAACGAACACGACATTCAACGTGTTTATTTTATGAAGTAAGTTAAATTTTCTCGTCTGATGAATCGGAAAACCAATCCGAAATGCCACAAAAAATCACGATCCCCTGCTGAAGACAAAGTTAGCCCTTCATGTACACCTGAGTCTGTACATGAAAGAAATTTATACATCGTATCTTTTCCGTTAATCTTTGTTTTTAACATTTTAAGATCTCTGTTATATTTGTTCTATGTTATATTTCGTTATATTTGGAAGTCGACATCTAAAATATTTATATTCAGAACTGTTCATCTACACACAAGATACAGCAGCAGAAATAACACCGACGTCCAACCAACAATACAGCCAGTTGTAGAATTGCCCCTTGAACATCTTTGTGAAGAGTTTACAGAACAGATGTCTTATCACAGAGCCAAGCATATAAATTCTCCTGGGTCAGTAGATCCATTATTAGCCAAGCAAAAAGATCATCACAGAAAAGCATTTGAATTCATCTCAAAAGCACTGAAAATTGATGAAGAGAATGAAGGTACGTAACTTAGGTTAGAATTTGTTTTTTTATATTAGCCTAAGTTATTTTCCTCCTAACTTAACAGTTTTTGGGTACAGTTTCTTAACTGGGCTATGCTATTATCAATTGAAACTATCGATTCGATAAGTAAACCTTCATGCGATTTTTCCACCATCTAGGGTTGTTGCGATATCACCAATCTTTCGATATTCGATATCAATAGCCTAACTATTCCAGCCTCCAATCATTTATCATTTATCATTTATTATCATTCCAACGGCAGAGCCATTTGAAAAAAAAGGCAACAAACAGTTTCCAACTTCACACAAACAATGTGACAATCGAAAGAACAATAGAAAAAATCAACAATAAATAACAATAAAGTTAATACCTAACAATATACATAAATGACAAAATAAATAACAACAATATAAATAAATAACAATATGAATAAATAACAATATTAATAAATACAATATAAATAAATAACAATACCCGTTACAATAAATATGTAAATGAATGCCAAAAAATTGAAAAAAAATAGCGTAAGGCTGAATAACAACAAAAACATTTGAAGGTGAGACAATCATCGACAAAAGTTCAAGTAAGCAATTTCATTCCGTTGCTCGCCAAGGACAGTGAGGAACTTTCTTCGAGCTAGTTTGAAGCCGTCGAAGAAGAAGTCCACTGCACCTGACACCGTGTTTCCCAGGCGAAGAATCCTAGCGAGTGGACTGTTGGCGTCATAGGATGTTGACCTGAAGCGCCGGCCAAAAAATGTTTTGAGACGAGTTCTGCCTGGAACCCTGATGTCGATCTCCAGAAGAAGTTCGGAGCAACTGAGAATGCCATTCATGATCTTGTATAGGAGACACAGGATCATCTCTTAGAAGGTCTAAAGGATGCAATCCCAGCATCTGTGCACAGTCGTCCACGGGAGCGTCTCTATAGGAGTACCTAGCTATTTCTAACACAGACCAGACGAAGAAATCTTTTCTGGATGGCGTCCAAGCGTTGCCTGTCGAATTCCGTGTAGGGCGACCAGACCACAGAAGCATATTCAAGACCTTGTCTGACTAATGCGCAGTACAGAGACTTCAAAGCATGGGGACAACGGATACCTCGTGTGAATCGTATGATGAATCCCAGCATTTTGTTTCCTTTCTTGGTAACATGGTCCACATGATCTCCAAACCGTAGGTCGTGTGAGAAAATAATTCCTAGGTCTTTGATGGTCGTGGTTCTTGGAATACTGTCTACTCCCAAAAAATACAAAAAGATGAGCGGATTTAGAGAGCGATGGTACGTTATTACAGAACATTTGCTGGGATTTATCTTCATATTATTGTCCTCACGCCATATCATAACAATCACAACATATCATCCAATATCGATATCACAAAAATATCAGATCAAAATTTCGATATCTTTAATATCGAATCGATATTAAGTTACTTTGGAGGAATCTACTTTTTAAAGACTTTGGATTGGAATAGAATGAACGATGCTTGAGTTTAAGATTTTTGATCAGGCATTCTGTCAGGAAATCTTTTTTGGCACATATGTTACTTTCACTGTAGTACCTGTTGATTGTTATTAAGCTACTTTTTATTTATAATGCCTGCAAAGGCTAGTTTATAATTTCCTTGTTACATTAATCTGCATTTGAAATCTTAGCTTTAAATTTACTATTTTTTTATTGTAATTTAATGTGTGTTGCATGACATGGTCTATTGCACTGTTTGTATTAATAAATTTAAAAATAGTAATGAATCTGATAATGAATATTAAGTGCTACACATAAGGAGCTTAAAACACTAGTTAATAAAATAAACTAGTGGCTTGTAGGGACATAAGTCCCTATAAAGCTCAAATGGAAAAGAAACCAGGGCCAATTTACCGAATAGGCACGGTAGGCACGTGCCTAGGGCGCAAGGCAATTGGCTTTTTTGGGGAGCGCCAAAAGTTTGGAAAATATTAAAAAATTGGTGGTTGTATTTGCATTCGATCCCGGCAAACTTCTGATAATCCCTTGGGGCTATGTAGACATCCGTAATCGTCTCCCGCGTTTGCGGCAAAATTCTTACTATTTTCCGCGGTTGGGTCGTTCAAACACAATTATCGTCTTCCATGATCAAAGTAATATATGAGCATATATCCCGCGGTCGCGAGGAGATTATCATCGTCTACCGTGAATCTGCGTTGTGAGGACATTATTATATCGTCCCCCGCGGTCGTGTGGACATAGGCAGTGTTGGGGAAGCTACTTTTAAAATGTAGCTAGCTACAACTACTGCTACATTTCCAAAAAAGTAGCTTAGCTACAGCTACAGTTCCGAAAAAGTAGCTAGCTACAACTACAGCTACAATAAAATGTAGCTACAGCTACAATTTTAGCTACTTTCCCAAAGACGTTACTTTTTATTCCACGCACATTAGGTAAATGTAAAATTAATTGCAACAACATTTTTATTGAACAAACATTTAAACAAGAAATGTCAGTATTGTATCTAACATTACTTGGAAACAAATTATTCCTGGATTTTATTTAATTTGTTGGCATTATAAACCTAACATTACAACAACAGCATCAAATAGTTGGGTGTCCCATCATATTTAGTACTTATATTTAAATATTGCATTATTTTTAAGCATCTTATATGTAAATTTCATTAAGTTCAAAGGACATACAACCAAACTATATTTTAAAAGCTCATTTTATTTCTTTAATATAGATTCATTTATAGATGTCTTATATCAACAATTAAGACCACTTAAACTGTAAAACGATGATTTAAAAATACTTTTTTGTGTTACAGAGCCTAGCCTATTGAAATTGGAGTTTATTGTCTTTCTTTACTTTTAATGTTAAAAACGTCATTGCTATAACTTTTAACCATAGTGATAAGTTACTTGTTCTATGAATAACACTTTTCAATGTCAAGAAATCGTCCTTTATTGTCATTATGCATAGGGCAAATTGTGCTTCAACCTAGTTGGTACAGAAAACAGTTCAGCAACTTATCCTGAAATTGGCTTTTAATTGAAACGTGTTGAAATTTGTAAAGTAAAAATAACATGTAGGCCTACTTGGTTATGTAACAAGTTGGCTATAGTAGGCTTGTTCTTGCAAGGACTAAACAGATATATTCGAATTCCTAATAATTGAACTTGGTATTCGTCTTAAACCATAGCATAGCCTAGGAATAGAGCTGTTAGCAGGAGCAAACTATGCTATTTTTTAAATGTAAGTTTCATGTTATATGGAGATTTTTTCGTTACAATTATCATGTAGTCTAGGCATATCTTAAATCTCATCAGGTAATTTCCTCTTTGTTAATTTAGTAAACCTTTGAAAAATCTTTGTAATCTAACCAAGGAAGGGCTTGTGACGATGAACCACAATCAACAGCTGAAGCAAAGGTTGATAGACCAGCTTTCTCATTAGTTTAAGGTTTAGTGTTGGTTTCCATTAAAACACTAGTTAAAAAACTATCAATATAACAAAGAAACTAAATTGATTACTAATTTCCCTGTCAATCACTTGCAAGCATTTAATAGCTTGTCTTGTCACTGGTACCGGTAACGTTTAAACGTCGTCTGCATCTAGCGATTTTATTTTATCTGACAGTAATCATAGAGTAGTAAATTAAGGAAATGAAAGCTAAAAATGTGGATAACACTTATTTAATGGCCTCCATGTCCACACAACGTTGTAATAGGGAATGAAACGGCTGCAACCAGCCGTATGAAGCCAAGAAAGTAGGCCTAATTGTTTTGGAAATCTCAGTTTGAAAGATGTTGTTTCACGTAAGGTTGAGGTTATGGTAAAAATCACTATCTCAAACAATGTTAATGTAGCGAGAAAAGTAGCTAAAATTCCGCTACAACTACTTTAAAAATGTAGCTAGCTACAGCTAAAGCTACAAAATCTTAAAAGTAGCGACGCTACAGCTAACGCTACAAAAAAAGTAGCGCGCTACTTCCCAACACTGGACATAGGTATTGCCTCCCACGATTGTGGCAAAATGTTAATCATCTCTTCGGTCTTGCGGAGATCATCATCTTCTTCCGCAAATTAGGCAAAGTTCTGACCTTTTCCCGCGATCGTGTGGTCATTATCATCGTCTTCCGTGATCGCGGCAATATTATGATCATCCCTCGCGGCCGTGTAGAAATCATTATTGTATCTCCCGCGGTCCTGTAGACATCGTAATCGTCTCCCATAGTCGTGAAGACATTGTACCATCTCCCGCAATTGCAGAAAAATGGGAATCATCATCCCCCCCCCCCCCCCCCCGTGGACATATGGAGATCATTGTCTTCCGCGAATGAAGGAAAGTTCTGATTTTTCCCACTGTCATATGGACATTATCATCGTCTTCCGCGATCGAGGCATAATTCTGATCATCCCACACGACCCGCGGCCGTGCAAAAATCATTATTGTATCTCCCGCAGTCCTGTAGACATCGTAACCATCTCCCGCGGACGTGAATACATGTTAATCGTCTCCTGCGATTGCGGCAAAATGTTAATCATGTCCCGCAGTTGTGTGAAGATCATCATCGTCTTTCGCGATCACGGCAATATTCTGATCATCCCTCATGGCCGTGTGTTTAATTATACAATGTGTACTTACAAAATTACACTGACGAATACAATTACGAATTCACACAATTCCTGGTTCAAAAAACTCCCGCATGATTCCCGGTCGGTACACCCGTTATATATATTGCAAAGGGCGCTACTATTAGTAGTTGTGCCTAGGGCGCTGACAGGGTCAAAAACGGGCCTGAAAGAAACTATTGTAATATTTGAACAAACTCAGAATCAAATTATCTATGTGCCAGCTAGATATCCCAGTACAACATATCTTTTGTGTAAAAAACAAAAAAAAACAGTTTGTTGTTTGTCTTTGTTTGCTTTTGTTGATTTTATTTTCAATAAAGAATTTGAATGATATTAACTGCTAAAGGCAGCAAACATGTTTATGAATAAATATTGGTTTATTAAGGTAGCTTTGGTTTTTTGGTTAATGCTGATAAAAAGGCTTCCACGATTAAAATACATTATTGAAAATTGTCTTCCTAAAATAAGAAAATGCAAAAAATGGGGTGTTGAGATAAACTTAGTTCTTGTTCAAAACCGCTAAATTAGCATCAATACCCTACCCAGTTATTATTTCTAAGTTAGGTATTATTTTTAAGTAGGCTATATGCTCATTTTGTAAAGGTTTAACAAAATTAGCCTTAAGTAAAGCAGTAAAGGCATCCCATTGACAGAACTTAACCCTAAATTTGTTTCTGATCAACAGTAAAAAAAACCACTATTAGCCTAGTGTAAGTTTATGTGGTGGTAATCCTCCTAAAGGTGTGATTGATTTACATATTCTACCAAAAAAATCAACGTCTAATTGCTAACTATTTTGCGACTGGTTAGGGTTCCATTACCGAGTTATCAAAACTAATCACGACATAAATATTTTTGGTTAGTTTTAAGAAACAGAAATTACCTCTATGTTCTACTGTTATATATGCTAGGCTATTATTTGAACCTTTTTTGCTTGGAGCAACAAAGTACTTAAGTACTTGATGGAACTACAGAGCCACTGGGGCAGAGCCCGAAATTATTTTTGAGATAAGTATATGCCTATATGTTAATCAGAAATGTGAGCTTTCATCATGCCAAATTTCAGCCGAATCCGTCTGGTAGTTAATGCGTGATTGAACTTCAAACTTACACACACACAAACTTTCATTTTTATAATATTAGTAAGATTATGGAACTGCTAAGAGAGGTTAGAACAGCTAATTTGAACCAACTAGCAACAAAAAGCTGTGATACAGAATGAGAACTTTACTTTTTTCTATTGTTTAGGTGTATTGGTAGAACATTATGGATATTGTAGAAGTGCTATACTATAGCTATAGGGGCCTACCATAAATTTAAAGAACAAAATTTTCTTAAACCGTGTACTCTCCCATTGCAAACGCAAAGCCATGTATAACTGCAATAAGCATTTTATACTTACACACCAACCCCGCACAAAGTACTACGGGTACTCTGCTAGTTAAAATATAAAATAAAATAAAGATTAAAAAATTTTAAAAATACATCTCCCCATACAGATATGCCGTATTAATGTCTAGTATTCTTGAGGGAGGTGGAAAAATTCTTCTAGAGAATAAAATGGCCATGTTTATTAAGAATTTCTTTGTTTTGTTTTACACTCTTTTGGATCCTTTTCATTTTGTATTCCTTCTGGGATATGTTTAAAAAAACGTATACCAGCAAATTATGGTTCTTTTTCATCTAGGCCTATATATTTAATACGCAACGTTAAATTTTGTGAACCATAAGGCTTTTTTGTTTAAAGATTTAACCCCACATATATTATATACCAAAATGTTCGTCTAGGTGTGTAGTTGTGCAAACTGGCTTTAGATTTTCGAAATGTATCTTTTTAAGGGCGTGGGCTGCCCTCAAAGTCCCTTCCATAAGGATAACATTGTGATTGATATGAATGTTATTATATACTGAAACAGATGTCAATACTTAGAAAAAAAATCCCAGCTGTTTTGTTTGGTTTTGAAATGTAAACAGTTTGCATGTTTTTAAAAGTAATTAAAAACCCGGCAAAGAAATGTTTAGTTACCTATAGGACACTAAAGGAGAAAAGTTTTACATTTTATTTTCGTTTAAAAATGCCAAGGACCCGACGACAAAGAAATATTGAAACAAAGAAATATTGCCGGTCGGACATGGCGAGTCAACATTCGGCAAGCAATGCAAAACTTAAGGAACCCAGACGAGGAGCTGGAACAGTTAGTGGCAATGTGTACTTACAAAATTACACTGACGAATACAAGAACTTAGCAGCATTCACTTGGCGAGACGGCATTAAAATATCAGAAATGTGGTGTGCTACATTTTAAAGAAGAAAAAATAGGACGAGAAGAAGGATTTTCATCCTGCTGCCATAAAGGAAAAGTGAATCTACCACCATACCGAGAAAGCTATTATATCCAGAGCCTACTAAATCGAGCAAATAATTTGTGCAGAAACTACAAAAAGAACATTAGATCGTACAACTCTGCTCTCGCAATGGTCAGCACTCGAGCTAAAATTGAAGAACATAACGGTAGAGGGTCTTTCATGTATAAGGTGCACAACACAATTTATCACTCAATTGGCACCTTCCAACCGTCAGAAGGGGAGCATCCCACATATGCCCAAATTTATATCTACAACGTTGAAACCTCTGTTAAAGAAAGAATGCTAAACAAAACTAATGGCTCTTGCAGTACAGCACATTTTGACTTGACATTTGGCCGATATTAATCCATACGCGCAGGTTTTCAGCATGATGAGCTCCGTTCTTCAAAATACTTCTACTGAACAGGAAAAAAGAACTTAAAATGATGCCAACGATCGAGCTCAAGACCAACGTCGATACAAGGAAGCATCTTCTAACGACATTGCTATAATATCCTAATTTATTATTTGTTCAAATTCGCACGGTTTCACCCAGTAAAACTTTAATCTGTGCCTATTTTGCAAAAACAGATTTTTTTCCTTTGTTTCATATCGATGAACCGGTAGACTAGATACATCGGATGAGGTTTTATTTAAAAAAATTAAAATTGAGTCAAAAATATATTGCCCATAAACAGTTTTTGAAGTGCTCTTTTGTGGAGACATCAGAATTTAGCCTGAGCATTACTCTTCCTGCTCTTTTTTATGTTTTAATATTTTATCTAGATTGATTTGAGTTCTTGCTCCAAATAGACAGATACCAAAGGAAATATGTGAATGAATATATGCAGTTTGATAAAATTTCCTTCTTTAAATTTACGGTATACTACAGTATTGCACATCTACCATAGCCCTAGTGTTCTACCACTTCAGCTAAACAAATAGAGCAAAATAAATTATTAAAGATTCGCAAAATATTACAAATTATTGATGAAATTAAAATCATAAACATAAGTGTAAACAATCCAACTTTGACAGTTCTCATTGCGTATCACGGTTTTTTGTTGCTGCTTGGTTCAAATTAGCTGTTTTCATGAATAAAAGAATAATAGTGCTGCACCCGGTTGATAAATCTTATAACTTTGAATGCTTTTGCATATCATAGAACCAACCTTTTTAGTTGAAACAGCTGAATTCTTTTATTCCCTTTAAATATGAATACTCTTAAGGTTAACAGGGGGAACTACAGAGCCACTGGGGCGGAGCCCGAAAGGATTTTTGAGATAAGAATATGCCTATATATTAATCGGGAATGTTTTATCATCATACTAAATTTCAGGCCAATCCATCCAGTATGATGCGTGATTGAACTTCACTGGCAACCTGACACTGAGAATTTAGGAAGAGACAAGGGGGAGAGGTTATGCAGTATAAAACATGTTTGAGTTTGCCTTTGTTAACTTGGAAAGTCCAGCTGATTGTTGTTAGGCCGGCTGGAGTTGCAGCTTATCCAACTGATAATCTTACTGACAGGTGATCAGTCCTGTATGTCCAATGATTAAAATTCAACTTTTCTTTAAATAATTGTTGTAAAATTGTTACACTTGTAGACAATAAGGTTGTACTTTAGTTTACGTCCTAAATTTACTATTATACATTATACATTGAACTAAACCTAACCTTAACCAAACTGAAGTATGTGAGTAAATGTAGGACGTAAACTAAAGTGCAGCTGACAATAACTAACCATAGGCAAAAAAGCATTTATCTTTATGTTAAAATTGTGTGCAGTTGTGAGCTGTCCAAAATCACCCAACCACCTACCGGTAGCTGACAGATCGACTGTTTGGTAACCAGTGATATAGTCTAATGCATAGTCTAATACAAATTTGGTGCATGGTAACATTTATACCTAGATGCATTAACAATTTGATTATTGCAGGTCATAAAGAACTTGCCATTGAACTTTACAAAAAAGGAATCACAGAACTAGAAAAAGGAATTGCCATCGATTGCCGAAATGGAAAAGGTGAAGTATGGGAAAGAGCTCAACGCCTGCATGAAAAGATGAAGCAGAACTTGATAATGGCTAAGGACCGGCTCAATTTTTTGGGTGAGTTTGCATTGTTTTATCTGTAAATTTGTACAATAATTATAGGTATTAATGAAGGCCTCGGTAAAAACATTGAAAATTGCTTCTGTCTTTGTTATTTTACAGTAAAACTACTATTACTAATAAGTCAATGTTTTCAGGACCAAATCTAGAATCTATGTGGCCCCCGGTGGGTCACACCAGACGCACTTCTATGCTGATTCAGTGAATGAACTCGACCGCTTTTTTAAAATCAGATCGGCAAATAAACCTAGGAGTATTTGTACTTCTACCAATAAAAAATTCAATTTTCTCTACAATACTATTAGAGATCTGCGGGCCAGATTATTTTACTTCGGGTAATTTAAAAATGTTGCCTTTGGGTCTCGGACAAAATTCATTTTGGGTCAAATTCGGTTTGCTTTGGAGAGAATAACAATTGATTGTTGACACTCTTTAATTGTACTATGTACTTGGATGAATAAAGAATATTGTCTATTGTCTACTGGAAAGTATTGCTTTTAAATAGAGAGTATCGATTTTCGAGCCGAGCCGAGCCTGGCCCACAAGCTTGAGAGCTTGAGCCAAGCTTTTACAACTACAATAACATTGTGACTGCAGATAACGTCCCCGAGGATAACGCAATTAAAAAATTCATGTTTTGGAGAATGTTCCAGTGTTCAACGTCCCACGGCCACAGGGATATTGAATATTTTCTCTTGATTGTGAAAGACATGATGTCCACTTGGCCGCAGGAGGTTTCCAGGATTTTGCTACGGTAGTGGAAGATGATAATGTTTCCGTGACTGCGCAAGATATTCATGATTTTGGCGTGGTAGTCGAAAACAATGACATTTCTTTTGCTTCAGCAACCATTTAGGATTTTGCCAAGATCGCGGAAGAAGATGATGTTTCCGTGCCTATGGAGAAGTTCAGGATTGTGCCACGATCTTGGAAGACGATGATGATGTCTCAGTGGGGGATAACCACAATATTACCGCAAACTCTGATAAAAGTCACGATGAATGAATGAATTAATGAAAATCGTTTTTATTAAGGCGCACATTAAGACCATTGGTTCTTTTTATTGTTAAACTCTGTTATAGAAGTAAATTAAGCTCATACTATTAAGTAGCCTTAACTAAACAATCCATACAAAAACACCAAAACATAAAATTGCAATTGAAAAGAAGTATGGCTTAACAAATTAACTTATTACATTGTACTAAGTAAAATTCAACTCATAAAGAAGCTCGGCTTGATCAAAAATCTCAGGCTTACAGACCTCTATTTCAAACATATTTCAGATTTAGCCTTTCTCAAAGATTTGATATGGAGGCACTATGGCTACCTGTAGAATTCTTGACTGTTAATACTTTAAATTAGGTTTTGGTAGATTCTTACTTGTTTAAAAATGTCATTTACTTTTCAAGAACTTTAAGCACTACTTAAAGAACACTTTAATTTTTATACTATAATTGGTTCAGACGACTCCTGTAATTGCGGTGAAATTGTGAAAAGAACATAATTGAAAATTAACCTAAGATCATTTCTACAGTATTCTTAAACTGGCAACAACTTAAACTTGGTAATAAATGTCTATGTGTGAATGTCTATGTCTAAATGTCTATAAATGCCAATATGTCTATGGCTCATCCATCCCCTATGGGTACGGAGGCTTACTCAATGGTCCGTAACCATATTTTGACGTTGGTTTTTGGTACTGGTACTTTTTCATGGAACCGTTCGAACGAGATCCAATTTTAGGTACCAACACCAACACATCACTATTTACAACTTAGTTATCGTTGTTGTTGCATCTTATTTCTTACAGCCGTATTAAATTTAATTGATGACTTACCGTACTGTATAAGTTTTGTGTTTTCTGTCTGGATTCCAAAATGTTAGTTCATGCTATGAAAATTTAAACTTATTTTGAGTGAAACATATTTTTAGCACACCATTACAAATTATTTACGTTTTACTTTGTTTACGTAGCCTATCAATAGTTGTAAAGTTCTTTTATCTTTCTTTTGGTAAATAAATGTCCAAGGTGATGAATACATATAAACCTTTTATTAGTCAAATTATACAAATAAGTAGGGTTATAAATTTAGATGAAACTCTTAATCTCAGGGTACTAGGAATGTGCCGGCTTAAAGTAGGCTTATGTGATGTTGTATAGGCATAAGCCTAATGTTCATCACAAGTTATGTACAGTTCAATTTACACTTTTGAAAGAAGAAAGTTCAAATTTTGAATTTAGTAAAATTATAATTTAGGTAAAAGTTCAAAACGGCAAAAGTCAATAGAAATTTTGAATGTGAGTATTTAGCAAAGTACAAGTTCAGTTTGATCTCACCAAAAGTTTATGGTAGTCATCTCCACAAATATATTTCTTGAGGTAAAATGATATGTATTAAATAATTGAGAAAAATCTTGATATTTTAAATACTGTAAAGTTAAATCACCAATTAAAAGTTTTAAATAATCTTCCTGTCTTGCTTCTTCATTAGGCTACTTATTCTCAATTGAATTAATCTTGATTCTTGATGTTCAATTTCATACATCTGTTTCAACAATTAGTTCACTGGTTTCTTGATGTCACTATTCACTGTTACTTTTATGATTGGTTGGTATTATATGAAGAGTATTTTAATTACATTTTTGAAAGTGAAAGAGAAAAATAATTTTGTAAAATAATTCAAACTGTATAAATAACTTCCAGTGATTATAAATTTAGCTTATTAAATAAATGACGGTGTTTGATGAGAATGTGAAATATGGAAATTTACAATAGGTGGAACCTTTTGCCCTTTTACTGCATGTAAACACATGTGATAATTTAGAGGTATGAATTTAGCTAATAGTAGGCCTCTGAGGTGTTTGGATACATAACACATGGTTTATTAACATTCAACTTATATACAAATTCAAAAGTAAACAATGAGGATAATTTTGGAACATCTCATAGTTTGTGGCCTGTTTATTGTAAATTACCAATCTAAATTGTCTTTAGTAGTCCATTTTAAATAGTATGAAGTCATTTTGACATTATTATGAGTCATCTTGGGATTATGCAAATATAAATTGTTACATTAGACGGCATTATCACTGCACGATAAGTAAATATGATATAATAACAATTGATGACACTATCAAAGATTTAAAATTATTATTTTACCTGTACTTTACTTTGGTTAAACCATTGTAAATGTCCTAATTGAATTCACATTTGACATTATTTATTTACACATAACATTCTTTTAGATGTGATAACATATAGAAGATAATTCTGTACTTTTGTGTGTACTTTGTATGTCTGTTGTAACGCATTAGAGTGCTTATTTCTCAGTGTATAGCGGAAAAGACAAGAGCACCTTTGTTAATGAAAATGTCAACCGAAATAAAGTTTGCTATGGTGAATTACTTTATCAAGTGTGTGAAGTAGCTTTCAATTATACCTTAAGGCTATGCATCATAGATCCATAAAACAGTTTTTTTTTTGTTTAATCAATCATTAGATATAAAATATAGACTAACAAGATTTATATCCGGGTGACATTTGACAGCTAAGCATTTGCTTTGGTTTAAGACTGTCAGATATTGTATTTGCGATGGTGTATGAGTATTCCTATAATAGTTTTGCCTGCATATCTGGAAAAAATGCACACTAAATATGCAAACCAACTGCTGTTCTGATTATAAAAAGGTTTCAACTGACTACAAGATCCCCGTCTGTAGAACGGGTACACAGCTAGTCAATATATATTTTAGTTCCTACTTTATCTTAGCATACAATTATTTTGTTATTATTTTCATAGTTTATATTACTATAGCATAGCTGGAAAGAACATAACTGAGAACTTAGTGCAAACTGTTGTTTCAGCATCTGGTCGTAAATTTACTGCTGGAATCACTAGACCTACAAACGTGTTGACAAAAAGTAAAACTCTGCCACGATCCATGGGCTCAAAAACCACTTCCCCTAGTCCCCAGCCTACTAAACATGCTCATACTCCTCCGGCCATCAAACGCCAATTGTCAGTAAGTGTAAGTAACATTTTTAACTCAATGTTTTTGGATCAATCATATACGCTAGAGCACCAATAGGTGTTTCACATTTTCAAATGAGCCGAGCTTTTGGAAAAAAATGCTTGAGCCTTGATCTATTTTTGAGCAGAGGTTTTAATGTCATGGAATTAATTGTTATGTCACGTAATAAGTTAATTCGTTACAAACCTTTTAAATTGTAATTTAACATTATAATGTAGGATTAAGTATAATTTTAAACTTTACAAAACCAGTAACTAAGTTAGGAATAATCAAGCTGCTATACCCGTGCTTTGCAACGGGAAGAAAATGTGACCTAGAGAGCTATTAAAGTAATGCTGATGTGCATTTTAAAATATAGCAACTCTATGATTTAGTTTGAAAATATAAACTGATTTAAAAGCGTAAACCTACTTACTTTTAAACCCCTACTTTTGATGTTAATAGATCCATAAGAATATGACAACATACCTTAGTGTAGCAATAGCATCAATTGCTTCATATTGATGTTTAATGAATGACATGTTTTACCATAACTCTTCAATAGTCAAGCCTCTTCACATGTAGCTTACTATATAACTTAAAAAATGAAACTTTGAGCAATACTTTACAAAACGTATACAACCTCACTTTAAAACCAAACATAACCCTCCCCAATCTACATAAAGCATCACAAACATCTTTTTCGAGTAAATAAACAAACACCAGTTCATTGAACTGACCAGCTATTTCATTAACTAAACTAAACTAAATAATTTAAACATTGGAAGCATGCCAGACGTAGCCCTTTAGAAATAAGCCTGTGGGGCAGAGCACTTAGGAAATTCGTCCATATTAATACTATTCGGCAAATCTACACACTCTAAGCTTCATTTTGATGTGCCATATGCCTATATTTTTATTTGGTAAATGACCTTATCCGTTTACATAAAATTTGATTGTATCACTTTAATAGTATAATAGATTGCAGTTCATTTTGTTTTCTTCAAATGGCACTTTTTCCTGAACATGATCCTAAACATCTCCATCATTCATGAAAACAACATCATGATCTCCCACGTTCATGCTTGTGAAGGTGGTGAAGTGGACCTTTGGTCCAAACCTTCACAGGTAAAATAAACAAGTTATCAAGTTCAAGGCAAAATGCTAAATATTTCCATCCATCATTGAAACATCACCATCATCGCTTTCCAAGTTCACAAAAACGTTTTTTTCTGGTGGAAGCGTGGATTTTATGATTGCGCTATCTGCTTCGTGGTCCTAAAAGCTTTGCTCAAGCTAGATTTTCTGATATGGTGCTCTATCTTTCGAATGCTTGTAGGTTAAGCTCGTCTTGCACACCTCTAATGTATGTTTTTATTCCCAAACTTCATCATCGTTAAAAAATAAATTTTTATTTTTATCAAGCATAATACTTTTCTTAACATTTCACCCATAGGCCTATAAATTATTACTAAGGGAAAACTTTAGTTTTTAGAGTTTTTACCTTTTACTTTCTCCCCCTATACCATAGTATATGGAGAAAGTATTGTGTTCGTCAAAATTTTCGAGTTTGAGTTTGGGGACCCAAAAAAGTGGTTTTCGAAGTGATGTCTGTGTGTGTGTGTCTGTGTGTCTGGATGTGTACAGAGCTAGGGACTACACCTGTGGTCCGATTTCGATGAAATTTGGTATGTAGGTTCTAATCCATGGTATCTCCAGGCGTTTTTTTTTAATTTTTTTGAAATTTTGATTTTTAATGGGCATTTCCCCATAAAAAACCGGAAAAATCTGATTTTCTCAAAAATGGCCCGAACGATTTTGATAAAAATTTAGTATGTTGTAGCCCTTTAAATTCTGAACAAAATGGTACAAATCCCATTTCTTTTCAAATTACGGTTCAAAATTATTGTAAACTATGTTATTTTCCCATAAAAATCCCATAAAATAACAAAAAATAGGATTTTAGAAAAAACTCCGGTTTTTATTTAACATAGTATGTTATGATCCTTACAGCTTTGATAGTTTTTTCATTTTTTAGAAATTTTGATTTTTAATGGGGATTTTCCCATAAAATAACGGAAAAATAGGATTTTCCCAAAAATGGCCCGAACGATTTTGATAAAAATTTAGTATGTTATAGTCCTTTATATTCTGAACAAAATGGTATAAACTTCCGATCAAACCATCCACAACACGTCTTACCATCCGCCATCACAAAAGTTTGCCGCTTACAACAGTATGGTGTATAGGCTGTTGAATGTACCGTTGCCGGACAACGATTATAATAAGGAACTTAATATAATTAAACATATAGCTTTAGCTAATGGTTATAAAAGTAACATGATTGATAGATTGATAACTAAAAAGAAAAACAAAAGGCCTGGAGATAATAATCTACAAAAGGAAAAGAAAAAGTATGTATCTGTGGAATACTCCCATTCCATTGTAATGCCGAAACGGCCGTAACGTAGTTACACCACAAGAATTTGAGCTGCAGTGACGAAGGTAAAGCCTATTTTAGTTATTATACAGCTCAGGGGCTAAAACATGGATTTTAATAAATCTTGTAGATCGGTCCAGCAATGACTGAGAAAACAGACTTACAACTGTGTATTAAATATATAGATTTCAAAACTATGTCATTGATTATGGAAATAAAAAAAGTTCTTGTATGATCCAATACAATGTATATTTTAATATTAACACCTTTAATGTTGGTAAAAAATCCCTTTTCCAAAAAAATATTGTTGAATTGTTTTAAACAGGGACCCAGCAGCTCTCCTGTTCATAAGCCTCTATCAGCCAAGATGAAGTCAACAACCAGCAAGACCACAGCTCTCAAGGGTGTTGACCCCAAGTTGGCTCAGATAGTGCTTGATGAGGTGTTGGAGGGCAGCTCCCCTGTACAATGGGAGGATATTGCTGGACAAGAGGTATGTCTGATAAACACTTGGCACAGTTCATGGCTCTCAAGGGTGTTGACCCCAAGTTGGCCCAGATAGTGCTTGATGAGGTGTTGGAGGGCAGCTCCTCTGTACAATGGGAGGATATTGGTGGACAAGAGGTATGTCTGATAAATACTTGGCACAGTTCATGGCTCTCAAGGGTGTTGACCCCAAGTTGGCCCAGATAGTGCTTGATGAGGTGTTGGAGGGCAGCTCCTCTGTACAATGGGAGGATATTGCTGGACAAGAGGTATGTCTGATAAACACTTGGCACAGTTCATGGCTCTCAAGGGTGTTGACCCCAAGTTTGCTCAGATAGTGCTTGATGAGGTGTTGGAGGGCAGCTCCTCTGTACAATGGGAGGATATTGCTGGCCAAGAGGTATGTCTGATAAACACTTGGCACAGTTCATGGCTCTCAAGGGTGTTGACCCCAAGTTTGCTCAGATAGTGCTTGATGAGGTGTTGGAGGGCAGCTCCTCTGTACAATGGGAGGATATTGCTGGCCAAGAGGTATGTCTGATAAACACTTGGCACAGTTCATGGCTCTCAAGGGTGTTGACCCCAAGTTTGCTCAGATAGTGCTTGATGAGGTGTTGGAGGGCAGCTCCCCTGTACAATGGGAGGATATTGGTGGACAAGAGGTATGTCTGATAAACACTTGGCACAGTTCATGGCTCTCAAGGGTGTTGACCCCAAGTTTGCTCAGATAGTGCTTGATGAGGTGTTGGAGGGCAGCTCCTCTGTACAATGGGAGGATATTGCTGGCCAAGAGGTATGTCTGATAAACACTTGGCACAGTTCATGGCTCTCAAGGGTGTTGACCCCAAGTTTGCTCAGATAGTGCTTGATGAGGTGTTGGAGGGCAGCTCCTCTGTACAATGGGAGGATATTGCTGGACAAGAGGTATGTCTGATAAACACTTGGCACAGTTCATGGCTCTCAAGGGTGTTGACCCCAAGTTTGCTCAGATAGTGCTTGATGAGGTGTTGGAGGGCAGCTCCCCTGTACAATGGGAGGATATTGGTGGACAAGAGGTATGTCTGATAAATACTTGGCACAGTTCATGGCTCTCAAGGGTGTTGTCCCCAAGTTGGATCAGGTAGTGCTGTATCGAGGAATAATAAAAAAAATAAAAACACACAGACCTAATGTATAATAAGATGTTTTGTATATAATGTAATTTTTTTTTTCAAATTAGGGGACAATGTAATGTTCCAATTTATATATGATACAGAGTAAAATAAATTTGATAGGGCTTTCACTCCCAACCACAAATTATAAGGTTGTTATAAACTACACACATTTACCCAATGGATTAAATTCCTAAATTATCGTTGTAAATGCAGTTCTGTATTTTACCTCTAGGTTGCCAAGCAAGCTCTTCAGGAAATGGCCATTTTGCCATCGCTAAGGCCAGAATTGTTCACTGGGCTACGCACACCTGCCCGTGGACTTCTGCTGTTTGGACCACCAGGTAACGGCAAGACGTTGTTGGCTCGTGCTGTTGCTACTGCCTGCAATGCTACTTTCTTCAGCATAAGTGCAGCAAGTCTTACTTCCAAATATGTGGGTGAGGGTGAAAAGCTAGTCAGGGCGCTCTTCGCGGTTGCTCGAGAACTACAAGTAAGTTTATTAGAAATTTCAATACAATTAAACATTAGAAGAGTATTGTGGTATGCAGTGCTCTATTAAAAATTTTGTACGATCGGGTAAAAATTAAAATACACTTAGAAAATAATGTATTTACAAGAAGTGTCTCAGCAACAAACTAACATTTGTAATGAATTTATAGTTATAATAGTTATTTATAAGAATTGCAAGCTGCAAGGGATGATAAGTCAACTGGTAGATGAAAAATAAAACTTAGGTATATAATGTAACACAATTTCAGAGGCTGCCATTCACAACAGTTATTTACTTACCATAAATTGGTGTAAAATACCTACATTTATGCGATCTTGTTTGTAGCTGAGTTGCTACCGATTTCAACTCACATTGGAGTCATCTTCAGGCAGTTAAGATGTCTTCTCGCTTCATTCGAAGGTTATCAATAGATAATAAATAAATAAACAAAACACAAACACGGACATAAATAAGAACATGACAAAACCAGTAGCAACTCAGCTACAAACAAGATCGCATAAATGCAGGTATTTTACACCAATTTATAGTATTTAAATGCGATCAGGAGGCTAAAATTCAACATAACAATTATTTAACAATGCGTCATGTTATTTATTTGGTCAGAGCTTGTGATTATGAATCGAATGATTTGTCAGTAATGATGCTATTTAATATTTTCCTTTTAATAAAAATTAATTATTACAACTAGCAAGGTATTAAATGTAGATTTAATTGTATTACGAGGTGTTAGCCCGTCCTACGTACGAGAATTCAGTAGTCAGGTAAAACCATGTACAATTCAGATCGGCTAGTTTACACATATAAAGACAAAGTTTCTTGCAGTTTTAATGTGAAAAATCATCCTGTAAACAAATGTTGTGTGACCAAATATGTTTTGATTCCATCATAGGCCTATATGATATGCATTTTAAATCCGATAATTTTACAATAAAACAGCAATTCTGCAATTTTTACGATGTGAAGAGTGTGAGATTTGCAGCCTACAGTAGAGAGAGTAATAGTCAATTGAGAAGTGTATAGACCTAGTCAACGATACCACCTTCCATAGCATACCTGCCTCTTCCATAATTATTATCACTACAACTACTATACACAATTTCCAGTAGGTCTGAATAGAAACAACCTAAAATAAAACGATAATATCCAATAAAATTCACAGTACACATAATTTAACTTTGGTGTCCTAACATCAAAACTAATCGTCACACCTATCCTTTATATCAATTTCACTGCATTAATTGCTAAATAAATAAGCGTAAACAAAGAAAAGTAAAAACAATAACAGTTTGTTTTGAAGCAGCTGTTTGGTTCAAATAACATTCATTTGAAAAAAAGAACTGGTCACATGTAGCAGGAATATAAAAAGTTAACACGCTAGTAAAGCTAATGACGTAATTGTCAATGTTTATTATCCATACCGTTATCAGTTCTATCATAGACTAACCAACACGGAGTATGTTTTATCTATGGTTCTATCCTTGATAATTACCCACCCTCATTGAATAAATGTACATCGTAATTTCCCATATTAGTTAATTTAAACTAATATTCATAGTTGAAATAAAAGTGATATTTTCACGTTTGGGGGCACTGATATAGGCGCCACGATTTCACGATTTCATAAAAGGATGGTTTGTCTAATTGCAGTATCCTAGGTCAATGTTGACGTTGTGTTCAATCTATGTCATCCATCTGTTTATCTTTGTATAAAACCCGGCTGAGGTTGTGGTGGTAATTTAAAATCGTGATTCCTGATTATTCTTTATCTTCTTTATATGACATCAATATTTCCGGGCCTAATCCAAACAAAGTTAAAGCAGACAAACATTAATTGTAAACAAAAAGCTACCATGAAGAATTAAAACATATTATAAACATTGTTATTTTTCTAATCTTTCCTTGAAAAGTGTAGCAGTAAAATAATTTGCATTTATCCTTTTTTTATTAAGACTCGTGTACAAAGCCTTGATTTGTACTGTGGTTTAATTAATTTTGGTTAAAACTGTGGTATAATTATCTCTACTAATTTTACTTATTTCCTATGATCAATGACAAAATAAGAGAACCTCATAGTTCCATAGTTTATATTTAACCAGCTGTTAGTTAAAACAAATTATATTGCTCTAAAACAAATCGAATATTACAAAGATTGCTTTAAAAAAATAATTTGAACATCCTAGTATTCTACTACGTATATAATCTGTCATCCTCTTACAGAAGAATTGAACGTATCAATGATTAGCATTACACATAGTATAAATAAGTCAACCCTAAGTATGTCTTTACATTTTTATCCAAATGCTGAATTTGTGACACAAAAGCTGAATGTTTACAGCTGTTATGTTAAGCAAATTATTTTATGCCAAAAGCTAGTTTAGAATCTTAGCGTCGGCTGCTAGACTTTTTCAAAATTAAAACTGAATTTCTAAAAAAACTGGGGCCCTAAACTAAAATTATGGCTTCGACATTCCCTAGTTCTCAAAATTATCTTTCAACACAAAAATGAATGGTTGATTCAGAATCGTGAAATAAAAAAACACTGTTTCGTTTTAATATTATAGACGAGCTGTTGGCCCGTCCTACGTACGGGAATCGAGTAGTCAATTAAAACGGAATAGTTCAGAACATCTAGTTTACACGCACAGTGACAAATTCTGGCAGTTTTAATGGGGGCCAACTGCCCCCAAAACAACCTAATTAACAATTAATTGTTATTTTTAGTTGTTGACCTTATTAACAAATGTCACGTGACTACCTATTTCTTCCATCCGATTATAGACCTAATATATAGCGATATGCATTTTAAATTCCATAATTTTACCATAAAATTGCAGTTGCGTCGATTTGAAAAGACTTTAAGTGAGATTGGAGACCGATCGCACATACTGGTATTGAGTAGAGTTGCTACTATTGCATATACCACTTATATATGCACTTGCCGCACCTTAACCTCTGTGACCTCAGACTGACACCTTATGAGGATTCTGGCCACCCATTCTCTTCCATCCCCTGTCTCTTCTAATTTAGATCCCGGTCTGAGGATGTATTTCATAACTTGGTCTTTCAACTTAATTCTTGGTCTTCCAAGTGGTATTTTATCTTGTGGTACTGTAGAATATACTTTTAAAAGTTGATTTATCTCCTATCCACCACGCATAGCCTGCCCATCCACGCCTTTTACTTCTGGAAAGCACCCCTATATCTGGGTGTTTACACATTTCTTTTAGCTCTCTGTTTGTTTTTATCTCGACCTCCGTTATCTTGAACTGGTCTGTATATTTTGTCTGCACTTTTCAATACTACGGGGAGAGTTATGGTATGGAATGAGTCGACTTTGGTTTCGACTGCACCTTGCAGCTCATTGGACAGTTTTAAGAGACCTACTACACCAATTGACACTTTCATTACTACCAATCAAAATTATAGTATGACTCACATACATTCGGACATACATAATACGCCCGCCGCAGCAAACCTGCAGACTAAGCGAATTTCCATTTGCCTGATTGGATTTACACTAAAATGTCTCCTTAAAAATATCACATTTATTCCCTATTTAAATTGAATCAGTTTAACACATACTTAGGTTTGCTGCAACAGGGAGGGTTAAAGTGTTTTTTGATGTAAAATGTTCTAGTAAGAAATAAAAACATTTTCCAAATTTGGGCAAAATATGTTAATAAATAAGCAAACTACAACAGTTTACTTATCCTCCATAAGAATAACATGGGAATTTTAAATTTACAATTTTTTGAATTTTTCCGTAACCATTAGGCGCATTATAACGCTTCAATATACTAAATTATTTGTTTTTTTAAGCTCTACAAAATAGTTTGGAAAGAAATTGCAAAAATTTAAGTTTTTTGGGTCAAAAATGGGAAAACCCCATTTTTACCCCATAAAAGCCCCCATAAACCCCCGTTCCCATGGTCCGATCATGCTGGTTCGCGAACTCGTTAGAATAAACGTAGGTTTACACGTTTGTACCAAATTTCATCAAAATCGGATCACTTTTGCTCGAGTTATCGCGCTAACGGACACATATATATATATATATATATGCATATATATATATATATATATGCATATATATATATATATATATGAACGGATGCTATTTTTGGCCTCTAGGGACCTCAAAACAAAAAAAAAAAATCGGTCCCGGGTCCAGGTCTTACCATGAGTACTACGGTAATAGCTTATTCCCTATATGGGAAATTCGCTAAAAAAGAAGTATCAACACGTAAACCACTTATATCTTTAACGATTAAGCAATAAATTTCTGAAAAAAGATTTCCCAAATATGAGATGAAATGTTCATGGCATAAACTAAATAACTTACTTACACAGTTTGCATTTACAACAAAACTTAATTAAACTGTTTGAGATGTATAGATCAAAGTAACACATTTCCTGATAAAGCAGATCCTTCACGGTAGAAAAAAAACTAAATTTTAAAGTGAAATAGTATGCAGGCCAACACCGAAGAACAATATTTTTGTATACAAACAACTTGTAACATAAACATTTCAATGACAGTTTATAATCAGTTGTTAGTTTAACCATAGACAATAGAGTAAATATAGACTGTCAAAGAAAGGTTTCGTGATCTGCCGCTAGAGCGTTATCGCCGTTCGATATCGGTTATCGGTATTCGATTCGATGCCGTCGTCGACTACTCGCCAGCTGTTACCAACACTACCACTCTTGCAAACGAAATGCTTACTACTATATCGCTTCCTATCAGCCGCTCGACCGTTTACGTATTGCTGTGGCTTTCCAAGTGTTGAATGTCAATATTCGTATTTATATATCTATCTATATCTATACAGTATAATTAATACGCCAACACGAAATTTTTCCTTTAAATTCCTCCGCCGTTTCTTAACCGATTTTGACCATTGACGTCTCATTGGAAAGAGCGTGTCGCGTCTATTTTCAAACTGATCTTAAATTTATTTTATCCCTTGGGCTCTGCCCCAGTGGCTTTTAATGTTACCTTGTTATCCTAATGAAGAACATATTTGTTTACTTTATGATCAGCTGAATAATTAATTGCTGTTAATATTTAAGTTGAAAGTCTAGGAAATGCGTCCTGAAAAAAATTTAATCTTCCTGACCTGTTTGAAATTGTACTCTTAGAATTTGGGTTTGCATACATATTACCATAGACCAACCAACACAAGTAGACTTCTCATCTCATTGTAAATTTTGAAGCACGTTTTTCGTGTCTAGTTCATGTACGCCACACTGGGCGCTAGTGTCGACGAAACTTTGTTTCTATTATTTTATGGTTAATTTCTTGATTTGTGATTTACTGTTTGGTTATACAACTAGGGGACAAGTTATTGTTTATGAAAAGATTGTATTATTTGGTTAAACCTTGTTTTAAATGAGTGTAATAAGGGGAAACAAATTGTAAACAAAACACGACCTCTACATATACCGTACAGAACTAACAATAAAATCGTCTTCAGCTGTTCCATAAGGATGAGAAATCTACTAAGGGAGTATGTTTTATCTATGATATTACAATGGAAAAAGTGAGAAAGCCTGGACAATTTGATCTATTATCAAAATAAGAACATTGAATTGACACTGTACTGTATTTCTTGAGAAATCATTGAAAGAGCCGATTTGTTAGCCGTGGAACATAGCAAAGTCATAGAACGCCACCAAGTATAAGAAATAGAGATTTAAAAAAAAAATACCATCGTTACCAACCTATATATAATGAAGAACACCTACAGCTACAATATGAAGATTCCCACAAACAATGAACAAGGATGTTAGCCGAAGTGCTACAATTTTTAGTAGGAAAAATTGTAGACATTATCGTCTTGCGTTATCGCAGAAAAGACGTGATCATTTTTCCCGCGGTCACGAAAACGTCCTCTAGCACGGTCGCGGTGTAAGAACATCTCCCGCGGTCGTGTAGACATCATCATCGTCTTGCGCCGTCACGGAAACGTTGGGATCGTCTAGTGCGATTGAGGTAAAATCATGAAGTTTCCCGACTTTGATATCAAATTAAAGACTAAATCCCAACTTTTCAAGACCATTTTGAAATACTTTGAATCAGTGTAATGAAACCACAAAAATACAACAAAGTTATGTCTAATAAAATACAATAAAAGATGGCAGTTAAATTAATTTATTGCTTGATATTAAATAAGTCAGTAAACTCCAATTTCGGGGAATTCCTCCAAAGTTGGCAACACTACTCCCAACTACCAAGTTGTTATGGAAACGGTCGCTAGCGCTTGATGATGCAGCGGTGTGCGCCGTAACTACACATTACCCCTAGCGGTCGGCGCCGGAATTTACGCTAACCGCAGCACAGCTGACAGTCTATATTTATTTCTTTTTGTCTATGGTTTAACCAGCACTGAAAATACTTTGAATTGCTAGCGTCGGCTGCTAGACTTTTTAAAAATTGAAACTTAATTTCTAAAAAACTGAAACCCTAAATTAAAATTATGGCTTCGACATTCCCTAGTTCTCAAAATTATCTTTCTTTCAACACAAAAATCATGAAAATCGGTCAAGTGGTTGATTCAGAATCGTGAAATAAAAAAACCCTGTTTCGTTTTAATATTATAGATTAAGAAGTCCCTAATGTTGTAGCAGCATTTATCAATCAATCAGAAAGCCTTTTAATCTGGGTTTTGACAAGTTTTGGACTCAATATTATAGTTTTTACAGGTCATCTTGTTAAATAGTGATCTAAGTATCATTTGAGTCTGTCACAATTAACACCTTCTACCATTGCAGCCCTCTATAATCTTTGTGGATGAGGTAGACAGTGTTCTATCAGAGCGGAGAGAGGGGGAACATGAGGCGTCACGGAGGCTTAAGACAGAGTTCCTGGTTGAGTTTGATGGTCTACCATCCAACCAAGATGAGAGAGTTCTTGTAATGGCAGCGACTAACCGACCTTACGACTTGGACGAGGCTGTTCTCAGGTATTGAGACAATCTTCTCATTTTGGGTTTTCTTCATAGATTTCCCCTGAGTGAATTGTAATTCAAAATACTGTCTCAATTTTGCTGAGATGTTACTGTCTAGGTTTTGTTATGTCATCTAGCAAGTAACACAATTGATAGCTGAATTAGAGACACAAAATTGCTTACACGCTTGTGCCCATGAGAAGTGAGAAGATTAGATTTAATTTCAATCACAGTTTTGTGCTTAGTTTAAGTAAAGAATGGGTTCTCTATACAATCAAAAGTGAGTGAATGATTAATTCTGAATCAACATTCTAAGTTCTGAATCAGTTGATTTAAGAGTCAAGAGACTTAAGACTTAAGATTCATGTAAATCAATACGTACAAGGTCGTTTTTACTTTCTCTCCCTATACGTATATGGAGAAAGTATTGTTTTCGTAAACATTTTTGAGTTTGAGTTTTGAGTGGATATATTTGTTTTGGGTCCCCCTGGACCCAAAAAAGTGGTTTTTGAAGTGATGCTGTGTGTGTCTGTGCTCTTACAAATGTGTCGAAACGAGATCCGCAGTTTGTTTACACAACGGCATAGTGAGATCCGTTGGCGCTTCGAGATCCGGGATGGTGAATTTCGGAACGCCAAAGCCTCTGATTGGTCCTCCTGAGCTTGTTAGGATTACGGAAATACCCGAAGTTTGCCGAAAAGAGGTGGTTCTCATTTGGGCTGGTTTGTCTATAGTGTGCGTGTGCATAAAGTTCTGAAATCTGGCACCACGTCGCGCTAGCATCGCCTACGCACACCGATCATACATACCCGGTCACAGTGAGATCCCCTAAACTGACCATGAAAAAAAGAGTAGTTCTGGTCTGATCCTAGTTGGACTGCGGAGTGAAGTGGTTGAATTTCCTGAATCACTGATGATGTATCTATATACAGGGTGAATTTTAAATGAGTTCCCCCCCTACTTTTTCTACATTTCTTAAAATATCAACTTCGGACCACGTCAGATCATTGTAGTGTAGTAATTACTTCATTTTCATAGGGTTAACATTTTTGGCCGCCATCTTGGATCCGCCATATTGGATACAACATTTTTTTTTCAAATGTAAAGGTAGGATTGTGACCTATTGTTTCAAACTAGAATTTTACGCTGATTACAATGCCGCAATTAGTTTTTAAAAATCTTGATCCGTTCTAAAGTTATGAGGACGTTTTATATCTTTATTTTTAGCCCATTTTAACATTGTGCATTTACAAACTAAAACCATAATCTCAAAATAGTGCTAGATAAAGATAAGTATACACCACCATTCATTGTCGACCTATTATCACTTGCTTATGACGGATGTATTTTTTTCGGCCGCCATCTTGGATCTGCCATTTGAAATGTGATAAATTAATTTAAATATGAAGGTGGTGTTGTGACCCATCATTTTGAACTACTTTTTTATGCTGAACTCAATGCTGCAATCCGTTTTTGTCTCTCAGGATTTCTTTGATGAAATATAAAAAATATCTTACCGGTACTTAAATTTCCAATATTTCAAAAAACAAATATGAAAATGCAAAACAGATTCAGTATAAACTTTACGGATACATAATATCAAATGCTGGGTGTCATCCTTAGATTATTATTCAGAATACTTTTGTTTAGACTTAAGTTATCTTATTACATTTTTCCTGTTAAAATGGTCATTATCATTAATAATAGTTTTACATATCTTTGATTATGTAAACCATATCTATGTTATCTTTATGTTTTGTGGTTACATTTGTTTTTTTAAAGCATTTATTTCTGGTTCAATGATGACATTATTCACATAAGTGTTAACAAAATAAACAAGAAATTAATAATAACATCGTGGGTTCGCCCAGACCTGAGACACCCTGTAACATAATTAATTTAGAGAAATATATTTAAACTTCTTTAGGCTTCATTCATCCAATAGATCTTGGGAGCCTTCGACTAGAAATTTTTAAATTTTGAGGTGGTTTTTTCAATAAAGGCCGAGATAGACTCCACTCCTAGCTCTTCATGTATATGCTTGTTTCTAACAAACCAGGGAGCATTCTCCGCTAATCTTAGAATTTTGTTTTGAATCACTTGAGTTTTGGAGAGTTTGTTTTTTGATATAGCTAATCCCCAGATAAGGGATAGGGGATTTGCATATGTAATCAAAGGCCGAATTATTGATTTGTAGATTAGAACGCTTTGGAAGGCGTGCATAACCTTGGGACAGTTTTTTATTGACGTGGTAGTTCAAATTAAGTTTTTTGTCCAGGCATACTTCAAGATATTTTATTGTTCATTGGTCATCAGGGTTCCAAGGTAGAAAGTTACATTTTTAATTTTTATTTTTATTTTAATTAACTACTAGGTTATAAGGGAATTACAATCTTATATATTTAAAAATTTTGGTTTTTCTTTTCCTGGTTTGTACTGTACTGGTTTGTATTTATAGATCTCCAATACAATGCTAGACTGAAAGTTTTCTGGATAAGCTTGATTCTATGTGCAGTATTTTAACTAGTAAATTTAATAATATTGTTATTGCAGGCGATTTTAATATCAATGTATTAAAAAATGATAAAATTTATTCTGTTTTTACTAATGTTTTAAGATCATATAACTTGGAATATAAAGTTGATTTCCCTACTAGAGTGGCGTCAGAGTCAGAAACTGCCATTGACAACATTGTTACAAACATAACTGATAAAAAACAAATATATCTGGTATTATAACATGTATTTCAGATCATGATGGACAGATGTTTGAAATTCTATGTGTAAATGATAAACCCAAGTGTGTAAATAAAGTTAATAGGAGGTGTTACTCAGACACTAATGTGGATATATTTTTAACTTTGTTAGCCAGTGAAAACTGGTTGGAGGTGTACCAAGCCCCAGTAGATGCTAAATATGATGCCTTTCATTCTGTGTTTTCTTATGCATTTGAAACAACTTTTCCTAAATTATTAAGGACTGAAAAAATTAATAACAATAAAAATGCTTGGATTTCCTATGATATAAAACATAAAAAAGGATATTTAGCAGATTTGGAAAAGCAATACAGAAATCTAAAAACGGATTCCCTAAAACATAGAGTCAACCAGTAAAAAAAAGAACTGAAAGTCCAAATATTAAACGAGAAAAAGCAATATTTTGACAGAAAAATATCTGATTCAACCAATAAGTCTAAATCAACATGGCAAATTATTAATCATGAGATTAACAACAAACGAAACAAGAAAAGAACATTAAAGTAGTATTAAATGGTAAGTGTGAATCGGACTCCACATGTGTAGGAAACATATTCAATGATTTTTTCACAAACCTAGTGGAAGATCAAGTTCTTCCTAATATTAACATAAATACAACTTCACAATCAAACTTAATAAATTTACAAAAGCCTAAAAGTAGTTTCAAATTTAAAGAAGTCAATAAAAAAGATATTGAAAAGATAGTTAAATTACTAAATACCCCCGCCGCAGCAAACCTGCAGACTTAGCGAATTTCCATTTGCCTGATTGGATTTAAACTAAAATGTCTCCTTAAAAATATCACATTTATTCCCTATTTTAACAGAATTAGTTTAATGAGTACTTAGGTTTGCTGCAACAGGGAGGGTAAAAAGTTTTTTTTTATGTAGGATATTAAAAGGTACTGTGGTTTAGTAAGAAATTAATGTATTTTCCAACTTTTATCAAAATATGTTCATAAACAAGCAAACTACAACAGTTGACTTATTCTCCATAAGAATAACATGGGAATTTTAAAATTACAATTTTTTTGAATTTTCTCCGTAACAATTAGGCGCATAATAATGCTTCAATATACTAAATTATTTGTTTTTTTAAGCTCTACAAAATGGTTCAAAAAGAAATTGTGAAATTTTGTGTTTTTAGGGTCAAAAATGGGAAAAACCTATTTTTACCCCATAAAACCCCCCATAAACCCCCGTTCCCATAGTCCGATCATGCTGGTTCGCGAACTCATTCAAGTTTATCCCGCCTTACACCTTCAAACCAAATTTTATCAAAATCGGACAAAAATTACTCAAGTTATCGTGCGGATGGACACATATATATATATATATATATATATATATATATATATATATATATCTATATATAGATATATAAAAATTTGAACGAATGGTGTTTTTGGCCTCTGGGGACATCAAAATGAAAAAGTAAATCGGTCCCGGGCTTAGGTCTTACCATGAGACCTACGGTAATAGCTACTTCCCTATAGGGAAATTCGCTAAAAATAAATTTTCAACAGGAGTAGATGATATTCCAATTACCCTTGTTAAGCGTGTTTTCCCAATTATTTCAAGACCATTAACACGCATTGTTAATTTATCTTTAATTAGCGGTATCTTTCCTTCTAAACAAAAAATTGCTAAAATAATACCGGTCTTTAAAAAGGAGGATGCCAATGATCCTTCTAGTTACAGACAGACCAATATCATTGCTACCAGTTTTTTTTTTAAACATCCTTGAAAAAGTTGTATGCAACCAGTTGTTGGATTTCTTGGAATCCAACCAGTTGCTGGATCAAGAGCAATATGGTTTTCGACCAGGAAAATCCACAACCACTACTAGCATTAACTTCATTGAATCAGTTATCAACTCAATTAACAACAATGAAAAAGTTATTGGAATATTTTTGGATTTTTCTAAAGCTTTTGATAGTGTCTCACATGATAAAGTACTTGAAACTCTTCATGGCCTAAACATAAATAATAAAGAATATAATTGGTTCAGATAGTATTTAAACAATTTGTTCAAATTCGACATACATCATACTATCCAAATTGCAAATATGCATACACGCAAAATGTCTTTTCTAACTTCAAAACAGTAAAGTACGGTGTCCCACAGGGATCTATACTGGGTCCCTTGTTATTTCTTTGCTACATAAGGGGGTTTCCAGGAGTTGTAAATGCCGGAGGATCTGTATGTCTGTATGCAGATGATACAAACATAACAATTACAGGTAAATCTAAAAAAGAAG